TTTTTCAACAAAAACAAACAGCAAGACCCCTCCTCGAGCTGGTTGTCGACTTCACCTCCGGGCACTGGGTTGCCACCCTCTCCGCCAGTGTGAACCACAGGCTGGTTGTCGACCCCTACTCTGGGCAGTGAGTTGCCACCCTCTTCGTCAATATCCACCACGACCTGATTCTCGACACCTCCTCCGGGCAGCGGGTTGCCACTCTCTCCACCAATCTCAACCACGAGCTGGTTGTCTACTCCACCTCCAGGCAGCGGGTTGCCACCCTCTCCGCCAATGTCCACCAGGACCTGATTGTCGACACGTCCTCCGGGCAGCGAGTTGCCACCCTCTTCGTCAATATCCACCACGACCTGATTGTCAACACCTCCTCCGGGCAGCGGGTTGCCACTCTCTCTGCCAATCTCAACCACGAGCTGGTTGTCGACTTCACCTCCGGGCACCGGGTTGCCACCCTCTCCACCAATGTGAACCACAGGCTGGTTGTCGACCCCTCCTCTGGGCAGCGAGTTGTCACCCTCTTCGTCAATATCCACCACGACCTGATTGTCGACACCTCCTCCAGGCAGTGGGTTAGCAATCTCGCCGCCAATCTCAACCACCAGCTGGTTGTCGACTCCTCCGAGTAGCGGGTTTCCACCATCTGTGCCAATGTCAACCAAGACTTGATTATCGACTCCTCCTGGCAGCAGGTTACCACCTTCTCCGGGGGGGTTCTGGCCTTCATCGCTCTCCCCGTCCCAACAAAGGCAAGCCCGGAGGTCTTCCAAGAATGAAGACAGGAGAGAAGAGGGCTGTGCAGCCGCCGTGGGCCCGGCTGTCTGTGCTCGTCTGGTCCGTATGTGGAGAGATTTAAGGTGCCTGTACTCAATGGTATGCTTTAATATCATCAGAAATGAGGTTATCACCACGACAGTGCTGATCGCCGCCGGCTTGTTTTCCATGACCTCTAAAATGCCGGCAATAAGGATTGCAGTCAGGCAATCGAAGGCCGCGATGTGCAACATCCCGATAACATTGGAAACGCAGAGGACATGAACGAGTGCTATGAAGGTCAAACCAATATACCAGCCATCCTTCACGACCAAAGTCAGGAACAAGGACAGAAGGATATACATAATATCTAGATAGCATCGGAAAACACGGGGTAGGCTCACGGGAGTGAAAGGAGATGTGAAAGCTGCTACAACGAGGGCAATACCATAGAAAAGAGCGTACGCGTTAACAACAATGACAATCCAGACACCGGATGGTAGGTTGCGCCCCTTGCGGTGCTTGTTGGACTCATGAAAAGAATAACGAGGAAAGCAATAAGCGTCCCCAACGCCGGAATAAGCCATAGACAGCGTCGTTTGCGTCTGGTTCTTTGTGTGGTGGCCTCCGTGACAGCAGAGGGCGCCGGGGGGATCCATGGTGTTTTTTGTGTGTTGTGAGAGAGAGAGAGAGATATGTCAAATGTTTCTTGTGGCAGTGCAATATTTGAAATTTGGTGATCGATGTGCAGGTAAATATCCCATACGGCCATAGATAAATAAATAAAAAAAAATAAAAAAATTGATAAGAAGCTGTAACTATCTATAGTTCTATACTACTAGACTAATGATTACCAAGATGACTCATCCAAATATTAAATAAGGCATCAAAATATATTATTCTCAGAATGACATTGACAGATGAATTCCAAAAATAACGCTTATTGCATGTTACATCAAATGCACCAAAACCATAGCTACATTGAGTTTTAAGAATAACTCCCTCTAATTTCTTTTTAAGATGATATTGTGGGTCCCTTTCTGCTGCTTTGGCTTGTTGTACATCAGCTGCTGATTTTAGCTTAAAAGTTTTATCTTTTTTTTTTT